TGTGGGACGCTTTTAGTTTTCTTCCTAATACATTGATAATGAGTATTATAAACAATGTTGCCACGAGTTTTGATCCTTGTGGTACATCTTTTTTAAAATTTTATTTTTCGTTTAATTTTCAAATTGTTTTCTAATAAATAGTTAAAAAAAAGTTTCCAAAATTGACAGTTGATTGCACTTTAAACCAACCCAGCTAGCTTCCGAATCACTATTGCTAGATTAACTGAATTAAACGCATTCGATAAATCGATAACTTGGCTAAATACTAGCAAGTTAGTTGAATAATTAGATTAGAAGAAAATTAAAATGTGTTTCTTTTTATTTTTTCCATCGTTAGGTATAATCTTCAAATTTGTTGACAAGTTTTGGGAATATGGTCGAAATTTAGCAACCAAAACCTGTACAACTTTTAAAGTGGTCTACAAGAAGCTAAAGTTTGCGAACCTCTGTTCTACAACATTACCAGTGAGAAAACAATACATACGAAATTCTTTATAGAAATTAAGCCTGACCATGAACTCTTACAATGATATGTATGGATCTGTAATCAGTTTTGGGACCGATTAGCACAGTATGGCCCCTTCCGTAAAAGTAAATCATATTAATATGGTAATAAAACTAACACAAACACAAACACAAACTCTACACAAACATTCTTGAATTTTTTAGCAAATATTTGTAGAAAACAGAGACCAAATAAACTATGTACCTACATATATGTATATTTGCACATTTATACGCATACATAGTTTGTAGGGCAGGCACAGATAATTATTCTGCAAGCGCGATTTATGACCACTACATTCTCCTTGAAGCATCCTCACAACCCACCCAACGCCCTCGATTTGTTCGCGTTATTGTAATTAAAATTAAAACATTGCGGTTGTGTTACAGAATTATTCTGTCTTATTTTACTGCTAACCGAACCATCATAGCCACAATTCATTTTTATATACATACATACGTACGTATGATAAGTACCATAACTGCTGTTTTTCTTTACTTTTTATATTTTTGGATTATGATTGCCTTAGTTATGCAGATGTAGCTGGACGAAGTAGTAGTTGCTTAATTAACGAACACGCTTCGCTGATTTGGTTTTTTTGCAACCTCCCAAAGGAGCTACATACATACGTACATACACACAAACCCATTTTAATAACTCAAACCTTCCTCTCTGGCAACCATGGGCGTAGCCAGGTAGGGGCAGGGGGGGTGCTCGAGCCGCCCCCCCTAACTTTCAAACTTTCCTCATATACATATATATAAAATAGTACCCTGAAATGCCAGCTTAATAGGGTCGAGCCCCGACCCCCCCCTTCTAAATTTCATTCTGGCTACGCCGATGCTTGCAATGACTGGCTGCTACAGGTCACGCCGACTTCCTCCTCAGCTGTCGTGTGACCCGTCCGCCTGCATTCGTTTATTTGGTGCTCGTTTTCATATTTTCTATTTTTCATTAAAAAAAAAAAAATGCATTTCCTCCATCACCCTTACTGGCTTGCAATAAGAACCACGAGCATCAACGCAAAAATGTCATCGGGTTATGGTGGCGACAAAGTTGTGCTTTTGTCATTGCGGCAACAGCATTACCACAACAGACAATGGCTTGAACTAGTTTTCGACCGTCCTTCGTCTTTTTCCACGTTCTTCGTGCTTGTTTGCTTTGTATTTTTATGTCATTTTCTCTGGCAACTTTTTTTTCGTTGCACTTCAAATGATAAATAGCACAATAGCTAGCAGCTGAAGGAAAAGTTAAAAGTAGATTTTTATGCTACGTTTTTCTTTTACTTCCACCTTACCTTTTAACGAAAGTATTTATTTCAATTAATCCAAAGGGCGACAGTTCAACGAAAATGGACAATAAAGCGGCGACAAACTAAAGCTTATCAGTAAATTGCAAACAAAGAAAAAATTAGTAGAAGTTAAGTAGTAAAGTTTAAGCCAAAAAAAAAACGAAATAAAGCTGTGCAATAATTTTTAATTAAAACTAAGAAAATACATTTTGCAAAAGGGCAAGCCAAAGGCCAAGCATTCGCAAATTAACTCTTTGCCTGCCAAGCATAACTTTGTTAAAAATACACCACAAAAATATTATGAAAAATTCTTAAAAAAAAAATCAGACCCCCTTCCATTTCAAGTGGGCAACTAAGAGGCTACCATCAAAAAAAAAAAAATCCCCACCTTTGTGCACGTTTTTGCGTGCGTGTGCGAAAAAGTGCCCTTTCATAAAATTCCGCTTTTCATGTTTCGCTCGTTGACGTGTATGTGCCAGTTGGCACCTGGCAGGTGCCAGTTACCAGTTGCCAGTAGTGCCGCCTCAATGCTGTTAACTTCCATTTGACCGCTGATGTGCATTGTTATTACCAAGCATATTTTCATGAACATTGTTTCGTTTCGCTTTTTTTTTTAAATTACATGCATGCACAAATCCATACATACATGCGTACAATACTTGAATGTAGGCAGCGCTATATCCGAGTATGAACGCTACCTTACACTTCTACATTCAGCAGGCAGCAGCGGTCCAAGTGGCATGGCAGTGGCACCAATAAAGTCAGCGCTGAAGAAGAGTTATGCTCGGTTTCAGTGAATACAAAACCCTTCTGCCAATGTTGTACTTCAGTTTTGACAGACTTGAAAATTGGTCGGCAAACCGTATTCCTCCCCTCCCTTTGATCTTTTATTTATCACTTTTCCAATGATTCTGGCAAATGAGTGCAAAGACCATCGCCATGACATGTATGGATGTATGTGCATTAGGGCGGATCAATTTGCAAGACAGTTTTTTTTCGACTATGTGCGTATAGCACAGAAGGCTAGTGCGAGTAATTTTAAGCAATATTGCCGAAGAAATAGTGGGTCTAAAATCAATTTGCCAAATTGCGAAAATAGGTGCCATAGCATTTTGCTGTAGTGTCGCAAAGAAGTGTCTAAATTTTTCATGAAAACATGCATTTTTGGTACGGGAATGCATTTATGAACTTAAATGTTTCCTCAAAATGCCTCCAGAGGGCGCTAAAGTGAAAATGTTCACATTTTCCCCGAAACCTATTTTCGCAATTTGGTAAACTCCAAATTGTTTTTATACCCATGGTTTCTTCGGCAAATTTTCTTAGAATTACAAGTAGAATTCTTCTATGCTATATGCGCATAGTAAAAATCAAATTGACCCGCCCTAATGTATGTGTGTATGCAAAATATAGGATGACGCAAAGAAATGTTTAAACAAAACAAGCGTGAGTGTCCGCCACTGCTCTACTTGCATTTAAAGAAGTCGTCCACTGTTATGTTCGGCTACGAATATCGGATTAATCGACCCTTATCGAAAAAATGTACTCTCCTAGGGAATTTGTGAAGTTTCAAATTGAAGGGCTGTATATGTGCGATAAGGTGTTTATTTTTTGAAAGGGGTTGGCACCTGTTACAAAATTGAAAAAAATTATTTAAAAACTGCAATATGGATAGCAATCGAAAAGGTTTTATTTCTTACAGCGTGTGTGAATCGGTGACAACATGATAAAAATATTACAAGGTAAAAAAATCATTGCGAGGCAGTCTGACGTTTGCAAACAATATAATTTTAAAAAATCGAACTCAGGCTCACACACACATTCTCATTTTAAATCTCATACAACAACAATTGTGAAAAATTGCATTTTTTTTATTTTCAATTATATATGACTTTAAAATGTTTGCAAACGTCAGAAAAAAATCATGGCCGACAAATTGAGAGAATGATTTTACCTTCGCCGCGAGTAAATCTTTGACAAGTATGAGGGGAATAAAATTTCATAGCTGATGAGGCTAGTGAAATTTTCGACAAATGCATAGAAAATCGCAAAGGTTGTTGATGTGTCACTTTTCGTTAAATAGAAGCTTAAATCGATGAACTGCCATCAATGATGGTAGATGTTTTCTTAAAATATTAATTTCACTTCAATTTGTAATAGTTTTTTCCTCATAAATCTGCGGTTATCAAAAATTTACTGCTGTCAAAAAAGATTCCATTTCACACAGCAGATTGGTAAAACTATCTCACCATAGTAAAAATATTATTCAACAACTTTTCCCATACAAATTTGTTACCGATTCCCACACGCCCATAAAAACATATATTATGGTTGCCATTTGCTTAAAAAATCTACTTCAAATTGGTATAAATGCACTTATTTGAATAAATGTATCACAATTTGGATGTCAGACGAAAGGGATTTAAAAAGATTTTAGTTTAAAAAAAGTTTCTAAAAGGGTTGCCACCTGTGTGAAAATTCCAGTTTAATTAAATTTTACTCATATATATTAAATATTAAAATATTGTTGTCAAACAAACGAGTGTTAAAAGACTTTTATTTTGAATATTTAAAATACTTTGGGGTGTTTAAAGAGACTTTCCACCTGTTGAAAAAAGCTAAATTTAAGTGCTTTACAAACGCTAATGAATTGTTAAAAGATGGGTATCCATAGCTTTGAAAAGGATTTATTTCTGAACTCTATTTAGAAAAGTTGCCACGTGTTTATAAAATCAAATTCAACTGAAAATACTTTTCAAAGAGGGTTGCCACCTGTCGATTTGAGCTAAATTATACGTAAGCTATTTGGAATATTTTTAGGTTTTAAAAGAGGGTGACAATCTGCTTAAAAAGCTAAACTTAAATAAGTTCATTACCTAATGGAAATACTTACATATCACAACTCGGGTGTCAAATGAAGTGTTTTAAGAAGGTTTTATTTGAATATGTTTTGGAGCGGGCTTACACCTGTTTGAAAAGTCAATTTTAAATAAATTATACCCAAGCTATATGAAATATTTAAACATAAAAGTTTTAAAAAACTTTAAATGCTAAAAATTGTTGATTAGGGTTACCTCCTATTTATACGCATAGAGCTCAATTTTCACTATATTCCTAAAATTTTTAAATAAATATTTACATATTTGTGTGCATAACCGACTATGTTTAAAGCAAAGCGTCATTCAAACTTTATTTTCTTGATTTCAGGTACTCACTTAGGATTCATCTGAAGCATATTTTTGACTTAAAAGAGGTGAGTAAAATTAAATCGCCCTTAAATATTTTTTAAGTAAATTTAAATTTTTTAATGCTTATGTTTTCGGATTTAAAACTTTGTCTTCTTTTCTGGGTCTGTAAAGGCGGGGTATTGCAAAGTACTGAAACAATTTCCAAAACCCAATTCAAAAATTCTGTTTCTTTCAACGTTTTTCCCGTTGCTGTTTGTTGGGTATGGGCAACAAAGGATAGTAACATTATATAGAATTTCTTTCGACTTAGCGAAATCTATAATTGTTTCTTCGTCTTCTGTATGGAATTTCGCCTTCTTCATTTTCTCGAAAACAATCTCCAAAGCGCCAACAAAACCCACGACAAGGATATGATAGCGAATGTGAAATATTTTACATTTATTTTGTGACCAAAACAAGTCAAAAGGGCTTGTTTCTTTTTCTGTCGCAAATGTTCTGCACTCATTTCTGTTGAAAATGCATTAAATTATGTTTCTTTTTCTATTTTTTGTAGCACCCGGCCTTACGGCCTAAGCGATTTCGGCCGAGTTCAATACATATAACACACGAGTCGTTTCTCTTCTGTGTGACATTTCCTAGTCGAGTCAGAATTGGAAATGCCAATCAAAGCCAAGTTCTTCTCCAGCTGGTTTTTCTATCACAGAGGAGGCTATTCAACCATTGTTACCAACAACGGTATTCACGTTGAATACATTGAGGGCATTAAATCCATTCATATGAAATAACTAAACCAGAGAAACTCATACATTTCATAGTTCCATCCTTTCTGGCACTAACCATCTCAAATGCGTAAACACTTCTCTATCTCCCGAAGAATCGTTCTCCGAACCATATCTCATTATTTCGTGGCCTGCGCTTCGCCGCTATACATCAGGAAATCATTCTTGTCCTTAGGAGTTTACTTCTCAATTGCTTACTTGCTCCAAAGTCGCACTTGTTGACAAGAGCGGTTCTCCGTTCGATTTCAAGGCTGACATTATTATTATAGTTAGATTGGTGTTCGTTGGCTTTTTCCAACCCCATCGTCTTCCCTCTGTATGCGCCACTGGTGCCTGAGCGGTTCTGTTTTGTGGCTATTCTCCAACTTTGGATTAAAGAGATCTCACGAAAGGGAGTCAGAGAGGCTCAGAGTGTTCCTTCACAATTTTGACTGAGTCGGTGGTAATAACCAACATAAATTTACACCGCCGTCTAATAATTTTACACGGCATAAAGGTAATTTTTTTTTATTCTAACGAAAGTGTTTTTGAAATCGAAAAACAGATGGTATGTTTCAGTTCCCTGCCCACGGATCTTTTCAAGATTTACCTATGGTGAACACTTGATCTGCGGTGGATTTAACAGGTCTCAATTCGCAGATTATCGCTGGCATCCTACAACTGGCTGATTATTGGCTTCAGCAGATTTAATGTTTTTTCAGCCATATTATTTCTATTTGGATCTCGTAATGTTAAGGCATATCCTCGATTTCGTCATCAGCGATTGGGCATTTAAGGAAGTCACTATGTATATCCACAATTTTTGTTATTGCTGTTACCCAGCAGGGTGAAAAAGAGTTCCTTCGATATTTAAGGTCTAATCTGGACATCTGCGAACAGGTCAACGTTCTTATTTCTATGGGAGCTCACCTCGATCTTAAAAACTTCCTTAAGTCGCCGTAACCATCTAGAAACTATCAAATTGAAAGAACTATGCGAATTACATATTTGCCTTATGTACTTAACTGGTCACACTTTTCCAGAAAATTTCGGTACAAATAAAATTCTTTGTAAGCTAACTACATATTTTCTTTGTATTTAGGTTATTTCATTACCAAAGAGTTTTTATCGTTAGTAACTACCTACATACATATTAAGTAGTAGAAAGAGAATCGCAAAAGCAATTACGTGAATAAAATTTTAAGAAATCTTAACTAACCCAGAGTTTTACACTCGTAATAATGAAGCTTAAATCTCTGTTGCTTTGGATAGCACAAGCTTTTGCAAACTGGCGCTCATTAAGTTAGCGACATGTAATACAGTTGAATGCACATTGGGTGCGTTATAAATACCCGAAACTGCAACATGCATACATACATACATACATACGTCTTCTTCTTCTTCTT